CCTGCAACATGTAGAATGCACTTGGCCATGAGTCGCCAGTATATCTCATTGATTCCAACTGGTCAAACTCTGGGTTGTTTGTCAAGTGCCACAACAAGGCGTGATGCCATGAAGGCATGAAAGGAGGCCCGTGGAGGATGGAGGTTGGACAGCCAATTAGTCAAGGATGCAATTTCCTTGCAAAGCATTTTGGAAAAATTTCCAAATTGGAGTAGCCAAGTTTTGAGTTCTTCCCTGTTGGTGCCACTGGGACCAGACACTCCTGGTGGCTTTGCACCCACCAAATCATCCACTATGTCCTGCGTGATATTCAGAGGTAGTTTGGTAGGGAACTTGGTGTATGGCTTAAAGACTACATCTGGTGGTGTGCCCAGATTTGTTGGATTCTGCAGCAGAGGATGCTTTGATTCCAACACGTCCAGGATCTGCTATCTGGTCTTTGTGCAGGTGTCCTCTGAATGCAAAACACCTCCACCATTGCGGTTGGTGAGTTTTTGTCATGTTGCTCAGATCCGCCCCGAGAGAAGGTTATCTTTGAAGGCCCAAAAAGCTTCTTCATCAGTTTTGTGGGTGGTGGACCAGACAGGAGATGAGCCTGGGCAACAAGGTTGTCAATTAGAGGACCATACTGCCCTGCATCCCAATGGTTGATCCGTTGTTTGATTAGGCTTCAGATGTCACTTGCCTTTTTCACCCTGTGTGCTTTGTTTAGGATCACTGCCAGGAAGACCAGGGGACATTCAGAGTTCCATTCTCTCAATTGCTCCCCTTGCAGCTCATTGCAAAGTTTCTGAAGAAACATTTTCCCCATGCAGTTCTGGGAGACCAGGTACCATCTTGGTCTTATGTTGACAATCCGTTTCCAAGGATGATGCCAGAGAGCATCACGGGCAATGCCCCCAGTGAGGTGAGTGCCAGGGTTGCTGTGAACGTGATCACTGTAGATTTTGTCCAACTTAGAATCCGCTGCAGTGAGCACCTATTGGGAGATCCGCCCCTTCATCCGGGACTGGAAGATCTGGCCTAATTGTGGTTGTATGAGCTGGGGGTGGGAATCTGCAGGCTGTGGTGGTGTTGCAGCACAACATTGGGGAAGAGCTGCCCTTGCCGTTGGCTAAATAAAGGCCCATATTGTTGTTCAAGGGGCCCTATCTTCCTACCAATTTTGGGTGAGGGTTTCCAACCAGGAGCACAGGTGCACTCTATGGTCCCCTCTACCAATTTTGTAAATGACTCTATGTACCTTTTGGCAACTCCCAATTGATGAATATGCAAATTTTTACTGGGAGTGGCAAAGTGAATGTTGTGAATGTTGCTTCCAAAGTTCAGGTGGTGAAAAGCATTTTTGATGTTATGGTGAGAAACATTCTTCCAAAATTCTTCCTTGTTTTCTCCTACCAGAGGACAGAAGCTGTCAGGTGCGCACAGGCTGACCTTAAATGCATCTGGTCCCCTGTTCTTGTCCAGGACCACATAAGGATCTGTTATCCCTTCAGTTGGACAGTTACAATGCCTGCATAGCTGTTTTGTCCCTTCACTCCTATAGTAGGAGGCATATCTACCACAGAGATTGTTGTGCTGTTCTGTATCACCAATCACATATGCAATTGCAAATTTCATCAGGACTTTCCCCTCCAATCTTTTCCAACATATTTCAGTTAATCCCACCATACCCATTTCTGGCTTTCTTTTAGAGCTCTGAAAGACACCATTGCCATCTTGATTCCATGATGGAGATTTTTTGTATTTTCTATTGGTTTAGCTTTTGCTCCTGTTTTTGCTCCTTGCAGGTGGAAACATATTGTTGTCCAAGCATTGAGCTGCTTTCTCATCTCCACATTGAATATACCAAGTGTTGTATTCAAAGGGCATAATGTTAGGTTCTCTCTGTTGTCAAGGGAAATACCATCCATGTACAATATGATCGGCACAAAAATTTCCCCCTTCTCTTTGTTACAATTTCCTGCTTTCCAAGATTACATCCACCAGCTACCATGATGCAATTCAGTGATTACTGGAAATAATCTCTCTTTGTCAAATTCTAGGCTGGAACAAATTGTGGACCACCTCCTGTTTGAAACTTTTAGTTCCAGGAACCACAGGGGCATCATCATTTGTTGCCCCTTTGAAGATGACCCATTTCTTGTCATGGTAAGTCCAAAATGAGCTGGAGTATAGTGTTTTGCTGCCCCCCTCCTACTGTTGCTGCTATTGTCCTCAGCTGACTGTATCAATGTTGAAAAGTTCAATGTTTCTTTCCCTCCACCATTCTTTGCCAATAGTGTTGACATTGAATAAAATTGCTTTCATTTTGCATTGGTTAGGGCTAGAACATGCTTTGTCAACCCTGGACAACTGTACTCCTTTCTTTCCAGCCCTACCCTTGTTTGATCTTCCTTGATTGTGCCTATGAAGCATTTGCCACTGAGATTTTTTTGCAAGATTGTAGACAAAAGAACCTCACTTTTTTATAATAGAAATATTCCTCCTTGTCCCTACTCTTGTTTTCTTGGAACCATCCAAAGAATATTTCATTGTTTACATCTGTGGTGTGATCAGGAACAGACAGCAACAACACATTTGAAATAGTAGGTGTGTAAACTGGTACAGAAACAGTTAACGGATGCCCCAGTAGGGTTTTGAACACACAGTCAAAACATATTGATCTTGACCAAAATCACAGTGTTCCCCCTTGATCTGATTGAATCCTGCAAGATTTTTCACTGATTTTGTACTACAAACCATCCAAAAAGACCAATCTTGGTTGCTGCTGAACAGATGCTGACCTGCTAGTGTGCTTGGATCTATTACATATTCTATGTACGCAGAGCTAGAATAGTTGACAACTTTGAATCAAATTTCTTGTTAACTTTATATTGAGGAAGTTCATTACAGTTTTTTAAATGCTTACAGCAAAGTCTTAAGGTGAAACTCTTGGTGTGCAGGCAAGACACCACTCTGCACCAATTGTTATAAAAATTGTAGTACTGTATTAAAAAAATGACTCAATGAAAAGTGGCATGTGAGAAGCTGTCTGTATGAAATTCTTCAAGCTGAGACCATTAAAACAAAGATGCATGTAATCCTGAATGCATTTGCTTATGACTATAAGTATGGCATTGAACTACCCGTGCTGGCTGTAATGGAAGAACAAACTACAGTTAAAATATCATAGTGCCATGACAATCTATTCTGTTTTGATTTGACTCCTCACCTCTTCTCCACTCAATGTAATGTTGTCCTAGAGTACAACTTTCTAACTTGTACAACTCCAAAAGAGGTTGGAGAATTGACTAACCTTCAAGAATTGGTTTGTTGTGACTTTCATTTTTATTATTGGTGGAAGAGCTATCATTTGTTGATATTTTCTCATCTTTCTGATTATCACCTCTGCAATGTGTTATGTTTTGATTTGACTCACCTCTTCTTCACTCAATGTCATTTTGTTTGTAGATGGCAACATTCTGTCTGGTACAATTCCAACTGAGATTAGACATTTGAAAAACCAGACTATTCTTTAATTGGGTAAGTCACTCAGGAGCCTCACAAGTTATGAATGTATTTTGGTATCATTGCCTCACCCATTATTCATTCACTCAATCTATGCTCTGTAATTTCAGACTACAACAATCTTTATGGTCAATTTCTAGCAGAGATTGGAGAAACGCTCTCACTTCCGACGTCTGTTGAGATGTATCGACCAACATCTCGACCTTTAGAGACACCGTTAGAGACCTCTCAACCAACATCTCGACCGTCAGAGACACCGTTGGAGGCGTCTCGACCAACATCTCGACGGGCAGAGACTCTGACAGAGACACTGTCAGAGACACCCATGTTGATGAAGTTTCGACCGACGTCTCCACCAACGTCTCCACCAACGTCTCCACCAATGTCTTGACCAACGTCTTGACCAACGTCTTGACCAATGTCTTGACCAACGTCTTGACCAACGTCTTGACCGATGTTTATCAAAACGTTGACACCGCAACCGCAACCTTGAGGTGATGATTTGATGACATTTCGACCGACTTTGAAACCGACGTTGGAACCTCAACTGCGACTGCAACTCCAACTCCAACTCCAACTGCAACCTCCACCACAACCTCAACTTCAACCTCAACTTCAACCTCAACAGCAATCTTTGGACGACGTTTGGACGGTGGTTGGACCGATGTCTGTTGAAAACTTTAAACCAACGGATGAATCGACGGTTGAACTGATCGATCTAGGGACAGATGAACCAAATCAACAATTGATTGAAGAACCAACGGATCCAGGGACGGAAGAACCGACGAATCAAGGGACGCGTTGAGCGACGAATGAACGTCGGGCGTTTCTGCTGTACAAAATCGTTCTGAAACGTCCCAGACTGCTGAACAGAACGGCGCTCAAGATTTTATTTGTTTCGATACTTCCCACAAAGACCTATCTTTGTGAACAGGTGCCTTCACAGATCCGTCGGCCTTACCGTGCAAAGATCCATCACAACATATTTTATCTACGTTGGTGCGGAAAGGTGTCCTTATGGTGTATTGTTGCAAGCCCACCTGCCTTCACGTGCATGTGTCCATTACAACGTATTGGATTCACCTTAGTGCGGGTCCTGTTTATAATGCGGAAAGGTTTTTACGCGGTCTAGTGTGTCAAGCCCACCTGCCATAGCGGGCTGGAAGCCACTACAATATATGCTATTTACCTCATTGCAGGTCCCATTTAAATTCATAGTTACGCATGTGCAAAATGTTGGAGTACGAGTACTACCTCATTGCAGGTCCTGTAATTCTTAGTTTGTTGTGCATATGAAAAATTTTATGTACGACTAGCGATATGAAACGAGCAGATTATTAAGGCATGATATTTTAGAATAAACTATAGAATAATTTGAAAGGTCAAGTCCGTTTTTCTTAGCGTCGAAATCTACCTTGTTTCCGCGTTAACATTTTTCTCAGTGCATCCCATTCGCATGCCCCAGGCAAGAATTCTGGGAGTACCGATTGTTCAGCAGCATGTGCTAATACATCCTCACTTGGATATCTGATCTTCTGTCCAGTCTGAAGACAGCTCAGTTGTGTCTGGCAAGCCTTGTCGAAGTAGTACGCCAAAACCCATGCCTCTCCCAATGTTTTGCCAAACGTACAAAAGCCATGATTCTCCATAAGCAGAGTATTCGTCTTTGGATTCTTCACTGCCTCACCAAGGAGAGCTTGTTCTTCTCTATCGTTCGACACACCATGCCAAGGATGATTGCTAACACGACCGATAAAAGGCGCTGCTTCCTGGGCTAGAGGTACAAAACCCATTTCAAGACAAGAAACGGCAACGCTGGCTGGAGTGTGAAGATGTACAATTGCTTTGACATCGGATCGTCGTTTGTATACTGCTTCGTGAATGATATCAGCGGTTATGTTGCCAGAACTTTTAACGAGATCTTCAGGACCTACGTCATCAAACATGCGACTGCCTGGAGTAATCAGAAAGCTCCCGTCAGAGAGAAGAACTGAAATATGATTCCAAACAAGCTCGTCCAGTCCAAACTCTCGAGTGATTCTGTAAGCATCACTGAGCTCATGCCTCATGCGCTGTTCTTCCAGGCGTAGGATTCCGCGTTCTTCGAGAGTGTCCTCGACTTGGTTTGGTATGTCCTCCACTAATTCCTTTCGAACGTACGTAGTATTCGTTGCAAAATGAGGCGTAATGGTACAATTCTTTAGGTTCCACAAATCATGGTCTGGCGGCAACGGTTCAGGGTCGGTTGTGTCAAGGATTGCGTGACGCACCAATCCTTCATCGAGTGCACGTAACATTCCAGCCGTTTCTACCACTTTTCCACGCGCCATATTGATGAAGATCGCAGTTCTTTTCATCATGGAAAATGAGGAATAGTTGATCAGTCCAGTAGTCGATGTTGTCAAAGGAACCATCGGGATGATCACGTCGCAAGTACTCAGTAGGTCAGCGATTCCAACGTGATACATATGGTGTGTTCCCTCCTCGAAGCGGCATCGTATGTCGCTTGGAACATGATAAACCAGCTCGCACGACTTGGACAGAGAGCGTATTCGCTTTGCTGTCTCGATCGCTATGGCACCCATTCCTATGAACCCGATCTTGCTACAATCAAGGTCAACACCGTCTGAATTCCAAGTCAAATCCCACGATGCACCGGGGAAGGGAACCCCGACATTCTGAAAGCCATTTCGCAGGCCGAAAATAACGTTTGATAGCAAATAATCTGCCACTGATTTCACAATTGCCTCGCGGGCAGCTCGACGAATCCGAATGCCGCGTTCCTCTGCTGCTTTGACGCAGATGTGGTCAAGACCCGCTGAAAGAGTAACGATCAATCTAGTAGTACTAGGTAGTTCCATGATTTTCTCATAATCCAGCTTCTCGCCAATATTAACGACAAGAACATCCGTTCCAAACTTTAGATCGCCATCAAGAGAATTCACGCTGTAGTTTATCATGCTTCTAGACTCTGGTGACACAGGTGGCTCGCTCATAAATACGACATCGTATGGTTTTCTTCCCGAAATGATGCCCCATTTGAAAATACCGCGGTCGGCTTGTCCTATTCGGTTGCTCAGACGTACACGGTGTGTCTTCAAAAGTTGTAAATTTCTTCCTTCATATTCTCCTGATTTTATCATCGATTTGATTTTCTTTAGGAGCCCATGCAAAGAAACATTGATTTCGGTCGTGCAATCAATAAATCTTACTTCTGACCAACCAGCCTCCGTGGCCAATTGCACACATTCGTTTGGAGTAGCCCAGCTGGTGATGTTGTGATCCTTCACAAATGCCTCCATTTCTTCGTTTCCATCTTTTCCGTCCCCACGCATCAAGTCGGAGATCAAAAGCCAGCCTCCTCCTTTTGTTACACGGAAAGCTTCCAAAAAGGCGCTTCGCTTGGTAAATGCATGAATGAAAGCATCTTGCGACATGCAACCATCGAAGAAATTGCTGTAATCTGAGTTAAGTCGTTCGTATGAACCTTGAACCACATCGATTTGACTTCCGAGGCCTTCCTCGTCAGAAATGTTTCTGTTTTCATAGCTTTGTTTGGCACACACATCAATGCACGTGATGTGTATTTTCTTGCCTTGCTTGCATATCCAACGAGCAGCGGCACCATTGCCAGAACCCATATCCAAATAGCTAACTTTCTCTGGTTTCACGGTCGCACTCTTTGATGACATTGCGCGATAGGATGGGCACATGCTGCGGGCACGGCTCCAGAGCCACGCTGTCATCCGGTCCGACGACTGATGCATGACGGTACCTAAGCCAAACAACCTGGCATTCTCGTCCTTCTCAAGTGCGTGAAGCATTAGATCGTGGAATTTCCGCTTTGCTGTGACATCTTCGCTGTGAACAATTCCGTGCAGGTGCAGTTTCTTTTCCATTACTCGGCAACCCATTCCAAATGCATCGTTGAACGAGAAAGTCGTACCACCAGCCAAACTAAATACCTTGGCGATTTCTCCCAAGTCACTGATGCCATCTGCGGCCTCAAAGATATCTCTCTTTACGAGTGTCAAGAGAACTTCCTCGCGTCGTTTTTCATCCATGGGCAATAGATCATCCGACACGGAAATCACAGCTTTTGTTCGAATGGACGATATTACCGATTCATCGAGAGACGGACAACTCTGTGAACAAAATACCATAATATCCCACTCTTCTTTGGATTTATGAGCCTCGTCCCAAGAAATAAAGGCATCCGAAGGGATTTTTGATTGAAGATCCTCCTTCGATGGATGCGGATTACTAAGAAAAACTGTATCGGTTTCTCTTTTCAGTAATTGGTAAAGTTCGAGTGCCAAGTGTGTCACGCCGAGTAGAACGATGCGGGCGCTTGTCCATTCTTTTGCTTTCATAAGGGTAAGAATGGATCCAAAACTCGAATAAGCGGCACTTTTGGCGACTAGATTTTCTTCTTGAGTAATCAATGCCTTCGGAATGGGGTAGTCGAAAGATTCCGTTGCAATAGCAAAGGAACCCTTCCTTTTTGTTTTGGCCAAGGGTACAAATGCATTATCGATGCCTTCGTTATCGTGCCGCATGGTTACTATTTCATTTTTCTTGTACATGTGGGTCAGGTCCTCGTTTGAAAGGTTTCTAGGAAGGCACAATATATTGCTTTTTGTGAATCCCTTGAGCTCCTCGACCAGAGCAGCCAACAACGTTTTGCGATTCGAATCAGTAAATTGATTTCTGGAACAAAAGTAAAGGAGGACTCCCGCTCCGCCCAAATTGAGTCCTGTGGTGGTACACTTTGTACTGGTCAAGCTAGCAGTGCTGTGCAAATAAAGCAACGCCGAGTCAATGTCTCTCCAGTCGTCTCCTAAGACTCCGATGTCGATTCGAGCGGCAGACAGCCCATAATCCCCATAATGATTGACAACAACAAATCCACCACCGATGCCATTTACTTCAAAGTCAATTATGTGGAAAGGAACGGACAGCGACGAATGCAGCAATAGGTCGGTGCCACTTTCAGACCGAATCATCTTGGTAGTCAGATTTTCGTTGTAGATTACAATTTTATGCGAAGGCAGCAGCAGGCAAAAATGATCATGCGGCTGTGGTGGTTCCGAGGGTCGTCGACCGAGAGAGGTCTTAAATACGTACTCGTTCGTCCGCTTCAATCACATCGGCGATTACATTGCGTTTCTTTCGTCATGATCGTGTTCGAAGAGGAAGATTCTACGTACGAGTACCAAGTACGGTACTCGCTCTTTCACTCTTACGACTACAACTATCCAATTCAAGCCCAAGATGTCAGAACAGAACATGCGTATGGCAGAATTTCGCAAGGAGGAAACGTGAACAAAACTGAGATCTTCTTAGCCGGAACAGTGTACTACGGTACTCGAAGTACAAGCCTAAAAGCACTCGTACTCGTATCGTCGATTAGACGTAGCATCTGACCAAAACACGCACTGAAAAGGTCCGATGCATTTACGAGAACAAAAAGCTAAAATCTAAAATCTTTTTGAGCCACCTGACAGAATCTTGCTCGATTTTTTATTTTTTCCATTCCCGGTGATGACATTGTACCACTTAGTTCCAAAAGCAATTTATTTTGATCAACCAACAAACTAAACTATTGGTGATTAAAGGCGAATGCTTCATCTGGGACTGAAAATAACGCTAAGGAGTGCTTCTGATTGTGAAGCAGAACAGAAAGAATTCGAGAACGTTTTGTTCTTGTTTATTCCTGGGAACATTTTGGTTACGTTGTTACAGTACCTGTTACGTAGGAACTCGTACCGAGTAGTAATCTCGTTCGCTCAACGTCATTCAGGAGACAAAATCTTATGGATTTTTGAGAAAACGACGAAATCGGATTTACGATGACGAAAGAAACCAATGTCTTTTTTCGAAAAACAGTATCGAGGGAAATCTGGCCAAGATTTCAATAAAAACCGAACCCGAGTGGCAGAAAACAACCATCACCATGACAACCATTGCCAAACCAAGCGAAACCAAAGGCGACTTTAAGGACCAGCAGTTCGAACAGAACGAGGTTGCCGATAAAGTAGTTGAACAATGTAAGAATGAATTAAGTGCATCGACCTCTCTTTTGTACTGTGATTATGTCCGTGCCCGTCTGGAATATTCTTTTCTACGCTATCCCTCGTCGACTTGGCTTTTCTTTTGGTGACTACAAGCTCTCCACCGCTCATTATTCTTTCGCTCCGATTTTTCATTTAACAGATGATGAGAAACATGCCCGCGTATTTTACAAATATGTTATGGGGTAAGTAGTTTTAATGTTTTTCGACAGAATAGATTCTGTTCCCGTCGAGAATATTGCGTCTCATGGTAGATGTCATCGTGCGAATTTTTAGGGGTGGTGGATTCGATATTCATTATGGTATTTTTCGAAAAGCCTCGGATACTGTCTACGAAGCTTCCAAGGCGACCAACGAAAGACTTCTTACCTGCCTCGATTGGACTCAGCCAGTTACGAAAGACTCTTTCGTCCTTGACCTTGGATCGGGTCACGGTGGTATTTCGCACGAGGTATGTGGTTAGAATCGGATTGTTGCGTCGACCCTGAGAGTTTCTGCTTTGGAATACTTCCCTTTTTCGATCTCGACAAACTGCTTCTGAAAAGATTATTGTCGTCGTTTAACAAAAAATCGATCTCGTTGTCCTGCTTTTGATTCAATTTTTTCTGTCTTCATTGGACATTTCTATTGGGAATACAAACTACGTTCATATTTACGTTCATATTTTAGATTGCGGAAAAATATGGATGTAAAGTCATGGGTGCAAATATTTCGCCCGAGCAGAACAAAATGAATTTGGATGAGGCAGAAAAACTAGGTGTCGGAGAGCTGGTCGATGTTACCCTTTGTAATTTCAACGACGGTTTGCCGTTCGACGACAATTCGTTCTCGCACATAATTTCTTGCGAGGTTCTGTGCCACGCGGCAGACAAAGTCACCCTATTCAAGGAACTCAAGCGTGTTCTCAAACCCGGTGGTGCATTTGTGTTCACCGATATCATGGGAGCCGACGGCGCGGATGAGAAAATTCTCAAAGACTTTACCGACCGAAATGCGACCACCAAAATGGCCCGTCCCAGCGAATACTTTACACTTCTTACGGAAGCTGGTCTCTCCGAGCCATCTTTTCTGAACTTTAGTCCTCACTTGGTGCATTACTTTCAGTCCATGGTGGACCAGATCGTCAAGAACAAGGCAGCGATGATGGAGGAAGGGTGTTCCGAAGCATACTTGGCGAAATGGATGGAGTCTCTCACAAGCCGTGTCAATATCCAACGAGATCACAAAGTTTTCGCTTGGGGAATTTTCACAGCACGATTAGAAGGCGACGTATACTAGTAATAGTAGATTGCAATGATAAATTTGGATTATTGTTCTCGATGTCTTCATTTTAGTACCTTCATTACAGTAATATATTTACTGAACCCTACCGTGGAGCATAATAAAAGGAAAAAGGCAATTTCCTATAAACTCCTCGAGTTCAGTAGCAGGCTGAAAAAGGCTTCAATTCAATAATTTCAAAAAAAGTTTACCGGTTGCATCTGGTAAATCATTTCCGATTCACTCAAGCCCGTTGTGGCGCATGAATGCCTCTGGGCTAGGACCGCGTCCACGGAATTCTTTGAAAACATCCGCGGGTGGCACACCTCCCCCCAAGCTCAAAACAGTCTCTCGGAACTTCTTTCCAACGGTTCTTACGGCCTCTTCGTTGTCGAGTCCAACGTCTTCAAAGGCACCGAAGGCATCGGCTGACATGACTTCGGCCCACTTGTAAGAATAATAACCGGCAGCGTATCCTCCAGCAAAAATATGGCCGAAACTGCAAAGGAATCTGTCCTCCTCTAGTGGCATGCTGTGGGGAGTGTACTTGCTAGCGATCTCACGTTGGAGTTCGAAAATTCCCTTTCCTTCTTCCCCGGCGCTGGCATCGAAATCGGAATGAAGCGCCAGGTCTAATTGTCCGAAGTATAGCTGGCGGCAGGTCTGCATACCAGAGTTGAAGATCTTTTGCGCACAAAGCTTCTCGAATTTCTCTTCCTACGACATTCGTAGATAAACCAAACAATAAAAATCGTTAGATCCGTCATCCGTCATTCAAGAATTCTATCCGAATGGCTGTATTCAACACTCACCGGAAGAGGTTCACCTGTTTCCCAATGTTTTGCAAAACCGAAAACTGTGGGACGATCATAACACCTAGTATAGAAATAGATTCAGAGATGAAACAGATACGTAAGAATGTGTTCGGTAAAGATCAATCAAGGCGACACGTGAAAATCTACATCGCTTACCAGTTCTCCATAAATTGAGAAGGAAGCTCTACAGCATCCCATTCAATTCCATTGATTCCTGCAACGTCACCCACTTGGGCGTCTGTGAGCATGTGTTGAAGCCCGTGTCCAGTTTCATGGAACAGGGTTTCGACCTCTTGGAAAGTCATCAATGAGGGCTTGTCTCCGACCGGAGGTGATCCGTTGCAAGTCAAATAAGCGACAGGAATATCGTTGTTTGTTGCTTCACTCTTGCCGATACAGTCCGCCATCCAGGCACCCCCACGCTTGTTTTCGGGACGAGAATAAGGATCCAAGAAGAAACTGGCAATGTGCTTGTCTGTTTTGGAATCGAAAATTTTGAAAAATCGAACGTCTTCGTTCCAAACTTCGGCTTCGCCATCGGCTGCCTTGACATCGACGTCAAAGAGACGATTAAGCAAGCCAAACATACCGTCCAATACTGCGGGCAAAGCAAAGTAGGGTCTCAACTCTTCTTGGGTCATGTCGAATTTGGATTCTTTCAGTCTCTCACTCCAGAAAGTTACATCCCAAGGTTCCAACTTCTCAAGGTTTTCAGTGGAGTATTCATCTCCGCCTTTCTCCCTAGCCAAAGCAGTGACTTCCTCCAATTCTTTTTTCGCGGCAGGAACAGCTTTGTCGGCCATGAGATTTGTTAGTTCAGTGACTTCGTCAACCGATGATGCCATCTTCTTCGCGAGAGACAACTCAGCATAATTCGAAAACCCAAGCAATTTTGCCATTTCTTGCTTCAAGGTTAGGATTTCGTAGATCAATGGAACGTTGTTCTTGCCATCACTCTTCTCCGACGCTTTAGAAATGTAAGCTTTGTAAACTTTTTCTCTGATTCCACGATCAGCAAGGTGTGACATGGCAGGAATGTAGCTAGGAATGTCCAGCGTAATCCTCCATGGCCCCGATTTTGTTGCGGCATCGAGATCGACCTCGGGAACATCTTCCCCTTCCTTCGCTTCGGACTTGATGAATTGTGCGTGAGAATTAGCCCACAACGCCTTCGCAGACTCAGGAACTCCCTCCATAATTGCGGGATCTTCAACCGTATAGCTGAAGGTCTTAGTATCATCCAAAACATTGTTGGAAAATTTGTTGGAAAGTTTTCCAAGCTGCAGCTTGATTTCGTTAAAACGCTCCTTGTCGGCTCCCTCGAGTCCGACTCCACCCAACTTCATCTCTAGGAGGGAGTTTTCGACGGCACGACGTTTTTGTTTCGACAAAAACGAGTCACATTGGTCTCCGTCTTCGGCCCATTGCTTTTCGATGGCGGAGAGCGCATCGTATAATGCCTTGCTTTGCGAAAATTTGGTCATAGATTCGATGACCTTGCCTTGGTTCGATTCGTATGCCTCTCGCAGTTCGTCTCCGTTCTTCACGCCATTGAGATGGCTGGCAAGTCCCCATACATAACCAATTGGATATTGCATGCGTTCGACTACAGGCAAAACCTCGTCGAATTCAACTGCGCCATCCTTCTTCGACAGAGTATCTTCCATTTCGACGAAATCATTTTCGAGCTTTTCCAACAACTCTTCCACGGCAGGAGTCAAGTGCTTGGGTTCGATGGTTTCAAACTTCGGAAGACCGCTTTGTTCCAGCATGGGGTTGGTCGCTACTGTTGACGACGCCATTCTAATTAATGTACTGGATGCAGCGGCAGCAACTTGGTTACGGTGCGAAATAATGTTGCGAGAAGTGAAAGCTAAAACTTGTCTACTACCTTGCGAGATCATCAAAAACGATGCAATGTTGGCACCAAATTTCATTTTTCGTGTGGTTGTGACTTAAACTATCGGAGTTGTCGATGAGGCTCTTCGAGGATCCTTTTTGGTTGTGCTTTTTGGGTGTTTTGTTTTGTGACTTTTTCCCGAGTTCTCTTCTCTCGAGCTCTGCACCGTACCAAGTAGATTCGGCTACCTGGTCCCGTACGTACCGTTCGTTGAAAGTGCTGTAGACGATTCGTAGTGCAGTACCCAAAGTACGAGAACGAGTACGTACTTGTACGATTACTACTAAGTGACGTGTAGCCTGAATCATCCATGGATCCTGAATGAATGAATCATTCTCATCATCCAACACATTCCTGGTTAGTACCTTCCTACCTTCCAAGTTTAAGTATGGTACGTTCAGGACGTACGTACCTGCCGTACAGACTATATGCCTAATTGGTTGAAAGACCCAGCAGCAGCAACAGAAATCCTACCATACTTAGCCTGAAAGAAATTCTCTCTGATAAATAGTACAGTAGAACAGCAAGAATGAGCTCATTTCCATGATTAGTGCAGTCATGAGAAGGAACAATGTCCCTGCTTCCTACTACTGGTAGTAGTAGTAGTAGTACTGCTGCAATCAATCCAAAAGAAGAAGAAGAGTGTCGAATTTTAGTTGATGTGTGAGTTCTGATTTGTGTGGGTTGAATGCTGTGTTGGTCGTCATCACTACAAAGAAAGTGCATCCATGATTCTTTTTCTGGGGGTGCTTTTGGGATTGCCGATAGCACAGACACACCAAGAAGGAATATTCTGCTTTTTAAGATTTTAGAATAACGGGAAGCGTCCAGTGTCTAGGAAGACTATGCCACCCGTACCACGAACCAATTTGATTTTGTTGGTCGACCAGAGCCTATTCTACTGAACGATGCTCGCATTGCTCCTACCTGGTGATATGGAATGAAGTAAGCAAATCCGATCTCGGTCTGACGAAAATCTCGTGCTACAGCAGTCAGTACAATAATATCGTATTATTTAATCGCACCTCGTAGAATGCCTCCGGTGTCTCTGCGTGCGTGCGCGACGAGAGCCGGGACAGCAGAAGCAACGGCTCCTGCATCCACGCAAACGGTGTGGTCCCGTCGCGTTGGCTCGCCTTGCCTTGCCTCGCCTCGGTGTGGTTGGCCGCCGACAGCTTTTTCTTTTCCCGTGCTCAGGAGAACGTGTTGGCGACGGCGTTTGCGGTCGATGCCACCATGAGGGGGACAAACACCCAGAGGAGGAGCCAGCACAGGGCACGGGAGAGCCGCCCGCCACCCCCCTCCGCGCCCGGCCTGCCGGTGACGACGAGGTACGTCCCGGCCGGAATGAGGTAGGACAGGAGGATGCTGAGGCTCGACCCCAGCAGGTCCCAGACGACGTCGATCGAGGACACGACGCTCGCCAGGGTGGCGGCGGACCAGAAGATGGCGACCGAGGTGCACAGCAGGACCGCGGCCGAGGCGGACGAGAGGTCGTGCGAAAGGCCGCCGTCGCTGGCGGCCGTGCTTTCGCTGGTCTCGCCGCCCGGTTCCGGGTCGGGGTCCTCCAGGAGGGGTTCCCGGAGTTCTTCGTCCACGGTCCCCCCCACGGCTTGTGGGATCGAGCGCAGCCGCGGGAGGATCAGCGATCGCACCACGATGTCGCGGCCCGGGATGACGAGCATCGGGAACGCCAGGGTAATGGTGACGGCCAGGCACATGCGGCCCACCATGAGGAGCGGGTCGTTTTCGTCGAAATCCAGGAGAATGTCTGTTGCATCGGGGGTTCGAGGTGCGTTACAGAACAAAACGAGAAAGCGGGGGAGAGTGAGTGTGTGTGTGTGTGTGAGAGAGAGAGAGAGAGTGAGTGTGTGAGTGGATGGATCGGAGCCTCCAAGGCGTGCGGGCGCGATTGCAACAAGGCGGGCAAACCCATGCAAGGCTCCGGGTTGGTCCAGCGGAGAGGTTGATTCATCTCGTGCGACACCATGCTTTGCGACACCATGCTTTGCGACACCATGCTTTGCGATTCCATGCTTTGCCGTGCGACGCGCTGAAATGCGTTCCCCTGCGACGCCCGCTACTTACTTCCCGAAATGGTGCCCGTGGGCGTGCACGGGGCATAGGCCGATCCCGCAAAGCCCATGACCATGTACAGGGCCACCGCGAACCAGGTCGTCGATCGGAGCCACCAGCCGACGCGGGCCGGGGACGGATCCTCCAGCTCGTTGTGGACGGGCAGTATGTTGTAGTGGCAGACGAAACAGGAGATGAAGAGCGGGAGGGCGTCCAGGAGGTCCCGCCAGGACTCGGGGAAGAGCGCGAGGTTTGCGTACCACGGGTCGCCCCCGCTGGTGCCGCAGTTGCACTGGACGCTGCGAAAGACGACGCAGCTTCCCAGGATCAGCAGCGAGAGCATGGACGCCAGGCCGCAGTCCTTGAGTGCCGTCAGCCGGCGGAGCGTGCAAAAGGGCGTCACCAGCAGGACGATCGCGAACATGGTCAGGTTGCGCCCCAGCCAACCCCCCGACAGCCCCAGCCGCGGGGCAATGGCGTGGTTCAGGGGCTCCATCATGTCCCGGAGGAGGACGGCGTACCCCACGGTCCCGAAGAAGCACATGAGGACCACCAGGCCCATCGAGAAGACATAGGCCCTGGTTCCAAAGGCCTCGCTGGTGATCGACTCGAAGGTATCCCGCCCGGGCCTCGTGGGGTGGGGCCTGCCCTTGTGCACGGCGGTCGCCACCAGCGTCTTGAAGCAAAACTCCGTGACGACCCCGGTCAGGAGCAGCATCAGCGGGCCCACCAGAAGGTTGCCCGATTGCTGAAAGGCCATGGGCAGCGAGAGGCACCCTCCCCCCACCATCGTCGACAGTATGTTGAAGCGGGCCGAGGAGATCGTTCCGATGCGAACGTCGTCGCTCTCGCCGCTGACCGGCTCGGGGGGATCCGCGGTGGGGGCGTCGGCCTCCTCGTGCGAGGCGGCGTGAACGGCACCCCCTCCGTTCGGAATTACGGCATCGCCTCCTTCTGCGGCATCGTTGTGGACGGCCGGGGCTTCCGTCATGGTTCTGTTGTGTTTTGGTGTGTCTTGCGGTTTCTTGGGGTATTGTTTGCTGGTTGGTTCGTTTGTTGGTTCGCTCGTTCGTTGGTTCCTTCGTTTGCTCCCTGGCTGAGAAGCTTTGTCTTCGTGAGAATTTTGATTTGACACTCGAGTGTTTTTCCTATTTCGGTTGATTGATTTTCATCGGTATTTTTTTCAATAATTTGCGCGTTGGGTGGGTTGATTGAATTTGGAACGCATCGGTGAGAAAAAAGAATCGAAGCGAGGGCGGCCCCCCATTGGTTCTCTTCTCTCTTCGTACCGGTACCGGCCGGTACGTACTCTAACACGAGTACGAGTACAAGTACATACGTGTAGTACGAGTACTGCTGCCGCTGCTGGCTGGGAAATGGAAGGTGAATGAAATGACCCCGACTAACTACGAGCACGAGTGCGTACGATTGAAAGTACTCGAATCCCGTTCAGCAATCTACGGGTTCGAACAGTTCCGCGAGCGAGTCACAAATTCCGAGCGTAGAGAATAAATCAATCAAACGTTCGCACAGTGACGTTCGGTACGGTAAAGCACTCTCCCGGTACTGCACCTTACGATGCCTACCGTACCTCGTCGTACCTGTACCTTACGACAATAACGTAGTCTCTTACGGCAGACATCACTAGATTGAGTCGACTGGGTCGAATTGAACGTTGAGACACGCCGATCGTCACAGGAGAATCTTTTCTATTCTTTTTTACAGCATCTAACGGTACTACTCGTGCGTCAGCTAGTACCAAGTACCTGAGTTGCGTATCTTACCTACCGTGAGGCAGACGGCAGGGCACCTAGGAGCGAACGTCTCAAAAAGCATTCTTTTTTGGTACTACCCGTACGTATGTACCGGTATGGCTTGTGCGAATACTGTCTTCGAAGGTTTTGATAGATTTTTACTACATTGCTTATTGCTTATTTACTTCTTGTAGCAGTCCAGTACTGTACGGTAGTACAGTATTCATCTCAGTAAATGCTAATAGTAGTAGTACTATTTCCTTTAGGTGTTTCCCATCGGACTCGTCCCTCTTTGACAACCCATTCGTACGAACTGGCGCTGTTGCACCGGTCCATTCACCGCTCCTAGGATTCTCGAATAAAGACAAAGAAATTCTCGTCGACGTCGCGGGTGATTCGCAGCGTGTCGTCGACGTAAAAGGTCGTCATGGGAATCACCGGGGTGGTCCCCTGCACCGTGTTGTAAAAGTCGCCCACCGGGAGCTCCATCTGCAGGTTGTCCACGAACTGGTCAAACAGCGGGATGTTGGATCCCTTCACCCTGGTGTTTTGGATCCGCAGCTCCCACCGCTTGTCCGAAACGACGTCCAGAGATGCGGTGGACACCACCGTGCCCTGTATCGAGAAGGGAAGCCCTGGCAGCATGCCGACCTCCAGGTCGACTGCCCCGTAGACAAGCAAGGACGAATGAGATTGTGTGGCGCAAAAGAGAAAACCGGTGTGAGCAGGATTCCGTACGTGGTCGGAGCGCCAAAACACAGAGGCAGACGGACGATATTCGAACCCCGCGGTGATTCCGGGAGGGAACGAGAGCCTGTCATTGACTAGTGGCGAGTTTCACAATGCGGGGCGGTTTTGAGTGTTGGGACCATCCGGGCCCACCGGACTCGGCTCCTGCACCCGTCGGTAGAATCCTCGCTGCACCCTCAACTACAACCCAATGCAAAAAGACTCCATCCACACCACAAACGACACACACGCACCTTCGCTCGTCAGCGTTTCGGACGTGATGCTCTGTCGGACCCGGCCCACCCGCGATCCCGACGTGGCCTGCGCGTGGAGGGCAAAGCCGTTCTCGGCAACGTCCTTGTTCTCCTCTCCCACGGCGACCCGGATGGCCTGAAAAAAAGGGCTCGACCGAAAGAGCTGCGTGCTCGAGTAGCCCAGGTCCCATTCCCCGCCGCAATTGGCCGCCGGGTCCTTGGTGGGGTTCAGGGCCTCCAGCTGGGCCACAAGATCGATCACGATGTCCTTTTCTTCCCGGGAGCAGTAGGCCCCCCGGTCCGTGACGCTCGCCAGGAGCAGGAGTTCCTGCTTGAGGGCGGCGCGGATGGCCACGTCCTCCTCCCGCTCGTCCACCGCGACCTGCTTGAACTCGGAGGGGAGATCGCTCGAGTCGTAGTCCGAGGGCGAGCCGTCGTCCGCGTAGTCGTACCGAACGACGGGAGACCGGGGGGGCACCGAGCGGCAGCGGGCAACGAGCGACGGAGCGAGCGTGAACCCCGTTGCCGAGGTTCCCGCCAGTAGCAGCAGCAGGCAGGCGCGGGGCACGAACGGACGCGCCGCGGCCGTGGATGCTGCGGAACCTGTGCGAGGAATGGAAGCGACCATTTTGGGTTTGTTTCGTTCCTTCTTGTTTGCGTGCTGGTGCGGAATGTATCCGTGTGGCAGAAGAGGTTTCTGTCGTTTTCTTCCTGTTCGGTGCGTACTCGTACGGGTACGTACCGGTACGAGTACTGGTACTTACCGTATGGTATCGTAACTGCGCGAGAACCGAGAACACGAAAGAAGTGGGGTACGAGCAGGGGTCATACCGGTATTAATTTAGATTTAGATTAGAGGGAAGCGCATCGAATCGTGTGGTCCAAATTTCCAAAAAGTCCCCGAAGGAATTTTTTTCATTCTCATTTTTACTGCGCCCTCAGTTAGAATTTTTCAAAAAATAAAATAGTTTCCCGTACACCCCGCGAAACAAGGAGAAACAAAGAGGAACTTTCTCTTTGTTTAAAAGGACAATATTCTCATTGTTTCTTGTTGTTGTAACAAAGAGAAATTAAGAGAACATTGCCTCTTGCACGAGATTACGTGTACTCTTAGTAGGTGTTAAGTGTGTATGAAAATT